ATAAGAATAATCATGAACGCACGCACATGCACGTGTGCTGCAATCTGATTGGCTAAAACTTTAAATGCCTACAACTTTCTTGGTTCTCAATAATACAGGGTGAAATTTCAAATATGAATAGATATAATGATTGCCTACATTATACTACTATCAAAAGTAAATACATGGACGTGCATGCACATGCGACCGCACACAATGTATTAAAAGATGTATACTTGAGTGTTTGATGTTCATGCAGAATTAAGAACTTCTAAATGTCAAGACATGTAACATACTGAAGCATGCAGATCTTTTTACCCTTGACCTTGAAACTTAGGTCAAGGTCACTGGTAACCTGAATAAAATATTGATATTAACTATTTACCAAAATCACCTTGACCTATGAATTCTAAAATCCACCTTAACCTTTGTCCTTGACCCAGGAAGAAACATGAAGTACATGTACATGTATCTAGAAAACACCTTTCAGAGTTTATTTCGGTTGACAGGTTAGAAGTTAAGAGGTGGTGGTTTTTAATGACCTTGACCTTTCATCCAAATGTCACAATCAATCTTAAGTTCTTGGAATAAGATACAAGATTCAACTCCAACGTTAAATAGGTTAAGAATAAAAATAACACCCCCCATCCCCACCCCCCCACCCCCACACACACACACAAACAAATCAAATTAATGGCAACGTAGAGAATCACTGTTAAACTCAAATAACACCTCGGACCCACATAAAATTTCAGGAAAACTGCAGAAAAGAGCTCGAGGAAAGTGTATTAAAATATTTCATTTGAGTTTCCAAAGTATATAGAAATTATTAATTTATATATACAGAAAAAATTACAAATCCTGTCGTGTTTAAAATTAAAGTGCAGATGACCAAAGTTGGCATATAAGCCTTTTATAGCCTATTTATTCAGATTTCGTTAATAGCATTTGATTCTACTGATTTGAAATAATATTTTAATACCAAGCATCCTTTGTTAAATTTACCTTTGAAATTTATTTGAATTTTTTTTTAGAATTACGCAATCCCCAGATATAGCGATTTTCGGTATATTAAAAAATCAATATACATGTACGCTCCTTCGTAAAATAATCAGATATTTGCATTCATGAAAAAAATATTAATAAGAAGGTGTTAAACAATATAGGTCACATTAGCTGACACGAATGTCTTTTTAAACATCTCTTGTAAAACCCAGAGAGTAGCCCCCTATGCATTGGAAAAAATGAATAGTTCCGGTCAAAAAAACCTTTATATATTTATTTACAAAGTATATAAAATTTACCAGGCACAGGTATCAGAGTTGTCAAAATGGCCTGAGAGGAAATATTTTAAAAAATCTGAACAGAAAGGAAAATCCTTTTTCCATGTATGGAACTACTATTGAATAAGTTCATTTTGATTGGTTAGGTATTGGCGTGATACCCTTAGTCGACTTAACCCTGCCTTGTCGTTGGAATAAAACCAACTTTGAGCCCGACGTTAAAATAAGTAGAGAAATAATATTAAAAATATGACATATGCTTGAAAAATGGTAAATTTATATGTGTATTTTTTTCTTTGATTCGCGGGATAGAAAGATATGTTAATCGCTTAATCAACATTCCATATTTATCTTGCATATGCATGTACATGTACGTGTGCGCGCATGCAAAACGTTAAACAATATATCGTTGATAGTTGATATCACTGTAACTTTTATATTCTTAAATGAAATCTTTGGATACTTAGCATATTTATAAAAGGTCTTAGAGGAATAAGGCACGATAAGGGACATGGGGAGCGTTTGGGGAACATCTGTAACGGTCCCCGTTACAATTAGCACTAGTAGTTATCATATTTTCAGCTGCCACCTTTATATGTAGCCATGCTTTCAAGCATGAATCAAATGTTTTTCCTTATTTACGTCATCCTCTAAAACCATTTTAGACTTGCGGACAGAGGTGTTCATCTTTTCGTCCCGGGTTCGAATCTACAGCGGGACATGATCATGATTTCATTTTTTATTTGAGATACAAACAGTATTATATATGGTTTATGTTTTGTTCAACATCTCCATAATTTACTCCAGTGAAATAATTTAACCCCCCCCCCCCCCCCACAAATGTAAACGTTTATAGTTTATCATGCTCATAGATTCTATAGATATTGATGACATAGTCAGCCAAGCTTTTTTAAAAAGCTGTTTCTTGTGTTATTATTTGTTCGCGCAAAGGACATTGGGTAGTAAAGGAGCTCTGGGAATGTTGCACAACAAAATTTGCTTGACGTGTGTACAATTCCGAACTTCTTTTCTTACACGTTATTCTATTGAGCTCGCTGCACTCGTTATTATACGGTTCTTGAAAATGAAAGAAACGTCGTAGTCTTTATGAAAAGTAACCGATTTTCTTGATTGTACAAACATTTTTTTAAGAAATTGGGGGGGGGGGGTTTAGTTATACATGTACAAAGAAAAAAAATAATATGTGTCATTTTAGATTGCCGACGTGCAATGATCTGATACATGTGTACCGTATTTATGAGAGGTTCATATCTCTTACCTCGTCTGAAAAGTGTCGCATCCATTGATATTTTCTTTTTTGCTACGATTCAATGCTTTAAAAATGATTTCTTTATTTAATTTGGTTATTTTCGATATGTAGATATCTGTCCCACCTGTCTGTGGGATGCGATAGTAAAGTGTCTGCCGTCCGTTCGTCTGTCTAGCTGTTGTCTGTCTATAAACAATTTGTCAAAATACTACTCTTCATACCGTTTTGGTCTGATTTCAATATAACTTGGCACACAAGTACACATCTCTAAGATACATAGTATAGTGCATCGGTTTTTGAAGCTTTTAAATGCGACGTCTTCAACAGTTTTTGTCTGAACTCAATATTGCTTGGCACATAAGTAGCCTTCACTAAGATACAAAATATCGTGCATCCGTTTTTGATTTCGATGAACGGTGTTGCCATGGTTACTAAAAATAGAAATTTCTGTATATAATTCCTTAAAAATGCTACTCCTCTTACAGTTTTAGTTTGATTTCAATATAACTGGACACACAAGTATACTTCAATGTGATACATAATTAAGTGCATCTTTTTTGATTTCGATGAACGGTGTTGTCATCATGATTACAAAAAATAGAAATGTATGTGAAATTCCTTTAAAACACTACTCCTTCTACAGTTTTGGTCAGATGGCAATGGCTAGTATTCTGTTCCTTTGTTATAAGTACAAACAAGTAGTCTTTAGTCTCGACATTGTGTTGAACCCAATGAATCATTTTGCCTCGATTATAGTCAGAAAAAAACTCATGGCTGAACATATCCAGTCATTTGGACGAGTCAAGATTAGTGACAGTGAAACTGTAAATCCGCTACCATTTTTCTACTAGTGAAACATTGCTGATATAATGCAGGGTGGTACATGACCTTGACTCGAGTTCAAAGTCCCCAAGGATAAGATGTTTTTGGTTGGATGCATGGACAGAAAGAATATCTAAATAAAATGTTTGAAATTTTCCAGACGGTAACACATGGATAATATTTTTATAACAGAGCTAGTCATTGCTTAGATCAAGGTCATTTGGAGAGTTCAAGGTCACTTGGAAAGTTCAAGGTCACATATATTCCTTTACAGTCTTTTTCCTAGCTAAACATTGCAAGTTGCTTCTCTTAAAAGGTTTAAATTTTCACTTGTAGAACTTTAGAATGTGGCTTGACCTAGACTCAAGGTTACGTCTTCTTATCCGTAGCTCCAACGGAAGACCTATTCGTTGCTTTGCAACGAGCTCGGCTCTAGTTTGTTTTCCATTACTTTGATTTCACACTCGATACCTTAATCAAAAACTAGGTAAAAAAATAAAACAAAATGTACTCATTTGATGTATTTTCAAATTGAAAAAAAGTTTATGCATAGTATATTCTTTATATGTTTGTTTGGGGGGGGGGGTGTTTTATTGAAATAGCATAAAATGTAACTTAATTATTAAAACAATACATAATGTATGGAAATTTTATGTGGTCATAGAATAAAATTAAAGCCAGTTAGACATTGTGATCTATTTTCGTGCGTTTGGTGTTTTAGTCTGACCCGACCTAATTTCACGTTATGACATACGATCAGGAATGCCATTGGCCTACTTCTATTGTTTTAATATACATGCTCCTGGTATAGCATGAAGGTGTTTAAAATGGCATGAAACTTGTTAAAAAATAATAAAAAGCAACACTGTATAAATTGAAAACATGGATGTCCATTTATTTGTAATACGTATCTTGAACTTAACATTCATCGTCGATCGTGTAGATTCCATCACAGGGACTTGCTCCCGGCGTGTAATAATTTTTTATTAAAAAATCATATACCATGTGTAGTTTTATTATTACGGTATATGATTTTTAAATAAATAATTATTACACGCCAGGAGCAAGTCCCTGTGATTCCATGAGATTTTGAGAACCACAGTACACATGTTATACACCCTGTAGAAATGTTTTATATATTTACTTTCATAAGTTAATAATTTTATTTAAAAGTATTTTTATTAATTTTTAATTTTATTTTAAAGTAAGATATTTAAAATTGCGACAGTGAATGAAAAGCTTCCTGACTCTCTCTCTCTTCTCTCTATCTGCTTCTGCAAGCTGTCTAAGTATTTTTTTATACTAGAATGAAAAGGCCTGGGGAAGTTACAAGAATTATTTCAGCAGTTACTACAATAAAGGAGGTTTTTTTTAATATATTTTTATAAATATCTTGAAATACCGGTATCTGATTTTCATATCGCGATATATTGTCATGGTGGATAATACCGCAATATACCGATATACCGGTAATATTGCACAGCCCTAGATTGCTGTATAGATTTCTGTATTGTATGATTACAGATTGCATTCTACGCCACTAAGTATGAACTCCTGTGTAGATTTCTTATTGTATGATTACAGATTGCGTTCTACGCCACTAAGTGTATGATTGCTGTATAGATTTCTGTATTGTATGATTACAGATTGCGTTCTACGCCACTAAGTGTATGATTGCCGTGTGGAATGTACGCTATAACTCTATTCACTGTGCTGCCAATCTATTGGCTGGTCTGGCTCCCTATCACGTAAGTATGACGGACAACTGAATTTCATGACTTCTACAATTATGAACAAAATATTTCAAGTCAATAAAACTGTTTCACTTTGTGTTCCTTATACTTAGGTAGCATTAAGAGTAACTATAAAGAGTCACCAGTTTTTAACACTATGCTTGTGTGATGCTGTGATTATGATCTTTTTACTGCTTTACTGACAGGAACACATAGCCATTCAGGTGGTAGATGGAGTTTTGGAAGACATTAGACTAGGAATGGAGGTCAGTACTATATATAATTACTATCTCCTGTGTATCATGTGGTATTTGCAAAGATCCATCATACCGTCACTGTTACAGAAGTAACTGTTGAGGAATATTTACCTTACAGTGCTTGACAGGAAACTAAGCTACATGAAAATTGATTTTACTTAATCAAAAAATTATGTTAATTTTTGATATCACACCATTTTCGCATTTTTTAAAAAAAGTATATAAAGCTTAAACGTCAAAAAAAAAATTCAGAGCAGAATGATTTGCATCATAATTTTTTAGCAAAGGAAAGTGCATCTTTTTTACAATGATACAGATACATGTAATGCATATTTCAAATTATATGCTGTATAAATGAAAGAAAATTTGTCAATGAGTGTAAACTATTAATACGCTTTTCAGATAAACCACCCTAAGTATAACCAGAGGCGAGTGAGCTGTGTTAAGTACCTGGGAGAGCTGTACAATTATCGTATGGTGGAGTCCGCCGTCATCTTCAAAACTCTCTACTCCTTCATCACTTTCGGAGTCGTCATGGATGGTAAGACAGAACTGAAAATTGATGGATCTTAAGACAATGAAGACTTTTGATTGTGCAGATATGAGGTGGA